CAAATTCTTTGATATCTGGCAGCCATTTACTGTATATCGTACGTAGAAAAAATTTCAGCAGATAACTTTGTGTAAAGGTCAAATATTGTTTCATTATACACAAACCTGTTCATTGTATCACTGATTTATGAAAACAATATGGTTTTATGTTGTTGCAGTACATCCGGTATAGGAGGGGAGGGATGGGAGGGATTTTGGGTGTGTGTGTTTTGTATTTTTTTCTGTAGTTTGTGTTAAAAAAATAATAAAAAGACTTTGATCAAAAAAAAGAGGGCGATGATCCGGACAGGAAGTGAGGTAGGAGAACAGGCAGGTGAACAGGAAGTGAGGTAGGCAGTGGGGTGGACAGGATGTGGGGTAGGAGGACAATGATGGACAGTAAGTGAGTCAAGAGGGCGATGAGCTGGACAGGAAGTGAGGTAGGAGAACAGGCAGGTGAACAGGAAGTGAGGTAGGAAAGGGAACAAGTGGGGACAGGTAGCTTCAGTGTTATTTACATACAGGTAGACAATTGCATTCAGTAGCTCATTGGCTGTCTTCCAGAGGTTCCGCCCCACTCATGTCTGTGTCAGCCAACCCCCTGTGAGGAGGGGCGGTCTCTGCAGGCTGAGGGGAGGGGTGTGAGGAGGAGGCAGAAGAGGATGAGGAGGAGGACAGGGAGAGGGGGAGGTCCGGGGCTTGATCAGTCTGTATTCTCCCCTCCCCATCTGCCTCACCTCCCAGCAGCGCCTCCTCTGCCTGCCCTCCACCTCCTCCACCTCCACTGGACCCGGCAAACTGAAGGTGCGGCAGGACGGCGGCAGGGACCTCCTTTTCCTGCTCCCGCCCCCCCGCCTCCTCCCTGTCGCGCCGCTCGGCGTACAGCGGCGCTTCCAGGCCGAGGTAGGAGGCGCTGAGCTGCCGCAGGTCCAACTCAAAGGGGCTGCCGCTGGGCCGCTCGCCCCCAGCACCTCCTGCTCCTCCTCCAATCGCCCTCTTGCCCTTGCGTGAGTGGGAGGACGCCGGGGAGGGGAGGCCGTCGGGGAGGAGTGACTGAATCTTTGGGAGCCAACGTTTGCGAACTCTGCGGGCGTTGGTGCACATGTCAGCTGCTATCACGTTCATCTCACTCTCCTTAAAGTTGGGAGCAAAGTTCTGACAGTACACTGAGGAGGAGGAGGAGGAGGAGGAGGAGGAGGAGGAGGAGAAGAACAAAACCTCTGAATGTGCAAAGAATGCAGTGTAAACACAGGAACTGGTGTGTGAGCCTTACATTTGACGGTGTTCAACACTCGGTTGTCCAGAGGTTTTCGACTGGGATCGTTGGTGGAGGAGCGGATCCCTGTCCCACAGCTATTGGCCAGAGTGTTTCTATGGAAACCAAAACAAGCCAATCAGTGCGTGCAGGTGTCGGAGTGTCGGAGCTGTTATGTAAAGAATCTGCAGGAACCGTTTCCAACAAAGCATCACAGAAGTTTGAAAAGACAAACAAGAAGACACAGAAAGGTTTTCAGTTTCCTGAGTCGCGTTCTCCTGACAGGTGCAGCTCAGCTGGGCGTGTCAGCCCACAGGTAACAGCCCACAGGTAACAGCCCACAGGTAACAGCCCACAGGTAACAGCCCACAGGTAACAGTCCACAGGTAACAGCCCACAGGTAACAGCCCACAGGTAACAGCCCACAGGTAACAGACCAAAGGTAACAGCCCACAGGTAACAGCTCACAGGTAACAGCTCACAGGTAACAGCTCACAGGTAACAGCCCACAGGTAACAGCCCACAGGTAACAGCCCACAGGTAACAGCTCACAGGTAACAGCCCACAGGTAACAGACCAAAGGTAACAGCTCACAGGTAACAGTCCACAGGTAACAGCCCACAGGTAACAGCCCACAGGTAACAGCCCACAGGTAACAGTCCACAGGTAACAGACCAAAGGTAACAGCTCACAGGTAACAGCTCACAGGTAACAGCTGACAGGTAACAGCCCACAGGTAACAGCTCACAGGTAACAGCTGACAGGTAACAGCCCACAGGTAACAGCTCACAGGTAACAGCCCACAGGTAACAGCTCACAGGTAACAGTCCACAAGTAACAGCCCACAGGTAACAGCCCATAGGTAACAGCTCGCAGGTAACAGACCAAAGGTAACAGCTCACAGGTAACAGCCCACAGGTAACAGCTCGCAGGTAACAGACCAAAGGTAACAGCTCACAGGTAACAGCCCACAGGTAACAGTCCACAAGTAACAGTCCACAGGTAACAGCTCACAGGTAACAGCTCACAGGTAACAGTCCACAGGTAACAGTCCACAGGTAACAGCTCACAGGTAACAGCCCACAGGTAACAGCTCACAGGTAACAGCTGACAGGTAACAGTCCACAAGTAACAGCCCACAGGTAACAGCTAACAGGTAACAGTCCACAGGTAACAGCTCACAGGTAACAGCCCACAGGTAACAGCTCACAGGTAACAGCTGACAGGTAACAGTCCACAAGTATCAGCCCACAGGTAACAGACCAAAGGTAACAGCTCACAGGTAACAGCCCACAGGTAACAG